ATCATCTTCATTGTAAATCCCAGGCCCTGAAGATGATCTCAATAAAGATCAAAACGATAAAGAAAATGTTTTTCTGAAACCTACATCACACCAGACCGCATCTCACGATTTCTGAATAATAATTTACACTGGCAATCAGATTACAAAAAAATTGTATTAAATAATAATTATACATACAAAACGGGTGGAATATGATTTCTTGTACTAATACTAAATAGAATCTCCATATAAATAATTTTAAAAAATCTTATGTATGTTTTGTTTGAACTTTCAGCAGAAATGAACTTTTGGTCAACCAATACAATGACCATTTTTAACAGCATTGATACAATAGCAAAGGCTACAAATCATACTATATAGTACATGTTATTATTATAAAAAGAACTTATTTCAAAATGAAATTAAAAAAACTTTGACTTTATATTGTCAAATTCTTTTGTTGTAGGTGCAAAAGTCAGTTTAAACAGCTCCAATTATCATTGTTTTTGTTAATAATCAGTGAAATAATTTGTTCAAATTCAAAAGATTGATAGATAGAAGTATTAGTTGGGGGTGCATGTTATAATGCACCCTTTAAGGGCTATTATATTCTCCATTCTGTGCTTAAAGCAAACTGATAAGTCTTAGTTCATCAAGGAACTTTTCGGTTCAAATTCGGTAACAAATCATACAATATAGTACATGTTATTATTATAAAAAGAACTTATTTCAAAATGAAATAAAAAAACTTTGACTTTATATTGTCAAATTCTTTTGTTGTATGTGCAAAAATCAGTTCTGATGATGATTTTAGTGAAAAGAGAAAGTAATTGAATTAAACAGCTCCAATTATAATTGTTTTTGTTAATAATCATTGAAATAATTTGTTCAAATTGGAAAGGTTGATAGAAAGATAGTTGGAGTGTATATTATACTGCACCTTTAAAAGCTATTGTATCCTCCATTCTGTGCTTAAAGCCCACCGGTAAATCTTAATTCATCAAGGAACATTTAGGTTCAAATTTGGTATCATTAACACAAACTGCAGAGGAATAAAGTTAATTAATTTGCTGGTACTACAACCTCCTTTACTTTTTAAAGGAATATTCAACAGAAGTTTATTTTTTTTAAGTCTTGTAATTCAACCATAAATGATCAGGTATGAGTAGAAAAAAGTGTCAAATATCCTTTGTCATACCCTGACTTACTGTTGCTTCTTGAATTTAAGATACCGAAAGGATGCCCACCATTCAACAACATCATGAATTTATTGTACAATGTAAATCAGTTCTGATGATGATTTTAGTGGAAAGAGCAAAGTGATTGAAATAAACAGCTCCAATTATAATTGTTTTTGTTAATAATCATTGAAATAACAGTAAATATTTTCTACATTAGAATAATCTATCATGTTATAAATTCTGTCCCAGCTTTTTCAACATGTTTCAAACATCTTCAATAAACAACTAGGGCTCTGATTCTTTTGTCATTTGTCAACATATCTGTTGTGTTTATAATCAACAGTTTGTAGTCATTTCTTTTCATTTATTCCTATGGAAAGTTTGATAAAACAATAGGCAAAGTGTTATCTTCATTAGTTTTTCCAAGCCAGGAATTCTCCAGGTTATATTCACTCCGAGAATTTTTTTTTAAATCAATCTGGGGTAAACTTTTCATACCAGACATAGCAGAGAATCTGTCAACCCTGTTTGACCTATTAGAAACGTGAGTACGATACATCTTCACCTATTCAGATCATCTTAGGGCCCCCTCCCCAGCTAATCGATGCTCTATTTCAATTTAATCATCTTTTAACACATTTTCGGAGTCTGGGGACTGGATTGTAAGGCCAATTCTGAAAATTAGGACCCTGTTTTTCTTCCTTTAATTCTAAATTTTACTCTGAACTTTGTGATTTCTAAATGTTTATGCCTTCATACGGAATAAAATATCTGTCTGTCAACCTCAGATGGCCTACTTTTAGTCGAGTGGGAATATTCACTCTTTGCCTATTTATGTCTGACAACTGAACTCTTGATACATTTGAGCTTCTGTGCCATTCTAGCCCACCAATTTCAATTTAATAATTTTTTTAACACAGCGACTGAGGGACGGAAAATTGGGATGTCCCTGCCTTAGCCAGTGAGTAAACACAGTATTAATAAATCAATCAATAAATTAGTGTAGTAATTATGTTTAGCAGTCATAATTGACTGTTATGACCCGACTTTCGGCTTAATACACCACTGCTCTAACCACTTGAGCTATTGTGACTTCGTAGCAGCATATTGAGCCGAAGGACATGAGTACAAACCCCGCTCGTATCTTTAACTTTTTCATCTTTATTTAGATAAAAGGTATAATTTATAAAATAATTACGTGTTGCAAAAATGTTCAAAAACTATATAAAACTCTAGAAATATGTAAAAAGTTCGAAAAAGTAGGTGTTTTAACCGGTTTTTAGATTTTCACCTACCTGGGGAAGTGTTAGTTATAAGTTGGAGTATTAATGTATTCGACTATTGCTACTAGATCTCAGATACTAATCTTAGGTATCTTATTCATTCTGCAGATGGCTGCCATCAAAATCACACAATTTTTTTTAGAACATCTCCGCCACAACTAGAAAGGAAACAAAATGGTCTCTTTTGAATTAGCTAGTTGTTTAAACAATGTCAATCGAAATTGCAGTGGACAACTGATGGAGCTGAAAGTAGGATTCATGTACAAAATTCAACCATTTGATCAGATTCCTACAAAATATGGAACTGCGGTAATTGTGAACACCCATTATATCATACCTACTCTGAAATGAAACACCATCAGTAGTATTTCTACCAGATTTTTTTTTTTTTTTTTTTTTTTTGCTTCGTCGGCCAAGCATTCACCACGCCAACCTTGAAATGTGACATTGGATGCACGATTATAAAAATTCCAAGACTATTGCAATTTTTACTTCTCTTACAATTTAATTGATTTATAAACTTTTACATGTGCAGTTTGAATAATTCAATTTAGAATAATTAATTGATGTCTAAAAGGACTCTTGATCTTCCTATTAAGTTATGTTAAATATAACTATCTAGTTATCTTAAATATAACTAAATGAGGTCTGAGTATTCATTTGTTTGATGTGGATAGAACGTCTTCCTACTTCTTAAATAATATTACAACAGTAAAATCTAATGATTATTTAGAGATAGGGAGATGCGGTCTGGTGTGATGTAGGTTTAGGAAAAACATTTTCTTAACAGAAATGATGAATGATGGAGTGAGTGCGGTGTTCAATCCTTTTTAATAAAGATAGTTCCTACTCGCAGTACATAAAAAACATTTACTTTATCGTGCAGAGTGCATCTTACGATCTCTAAATGATCATTAATTAACTGTCACTAAATACCACACAAATAAAATCTAATAAATTTCTTTTTATAAATAAAGAGAAAAGACAATTATTGAGGGTTTAAATGAAATTTTAACGTCTTGACCGTTTGAGCCGACTCGAAGAGCCAGTAGCTGAAAAGTTTTTGATCCATAATCCAAAATAAATCAATATCCGTATTATATAATAATTAAAAACTGGTCAATTGACTATTTGCAATGGAATTCATTTAAAAAAAAGAAAAACCTAGACTTTTTAAACTAATAAATGCCAAAAATGATTAATACCTTTTTCGAGGATGAAAATGTGATGTCGAACCGATGGCCGCCACGAGAGAAAGAGGGCGAATGGCGGGAATATTACTTCCCAGTTCCCTCACCAACAGAAAATTAATCATACAATTTTCTCAAAATTAATGTAATGATTGAAAAATGTTTTAAAATAATATCAACCAAATATTGTAACTATTTTTTTTTTTAAATCAAGTCCGATTTTAAAAAAAAAATTAATCATACTTTAGTACTTTTAGAAAATACTTGTTCAAGCTGGCAGTGATCTGATAGGCTGATGATTCTCCGTTTAGAATTTGATTAACGATTTGAGTTTAAAAATAAATAATTAATTGTTAAATATTCCGTAAATTTTTGTGCTATTATTATTAGAAAGTATTTTAAAGTATGTAATGTTTCTTATTTACTTGGAAGTGTCCTTGAATCACCGGCCGTTTCCCGCCATTTCCATGGCGATTCAGGCTACAACTGACGGTCGAGACTCGGCTTTTTCACGGTGAGCTTTTATTTCGGAATATTATAATTATTTTCATTAATAAAAGCTGCTTTTACGTTGAAATCAAAGAAAAATCATTAATGAAATAATTTATCAATCATCGCCAGTTTTAAATATTGATTTGTTGGATGTTTTTTTGCAACACAGCGAGCCGGTTCAACCTCTCCGGATCGCCTGGTGACTGATAAAATTTCATTTTCGATTACCGATAAATCCAATATTTTTTCAAGAGGAGCAAGTCGGTTTTATGATTATCAATAAATAATGAGATTATTTCAATTAATTATACTTTTGATAGACCAATAGTCATTGGTTCGAATCTCGCTCGCAACACTAAAAAAGTTAAATTAATTTAGCGTTTTATCTAAGGTCTTGGTGAGATGGAAAAGTTAGTGTTACGAGTGGGTTTCGAACCCGCATCCTTCGGCCTGCCTTAACCTCTTGAGCTATTTTCTCAAGAAGTCATGATAGATCAAGTGGTTAGAGAAGTGGCATATTGACCGGATGGTTGTTGGTTCGAATCCTTCGCACAACACTAAAAAAGTATAATTATTTCAACTAGTTACGCGTTTTATCTAAGGCCTTGGCTGAGATGAAAAAGTTAGTGTCGCAAGCAAGTTGGATTAGAACACAACCTTCAGCTCAGTACAGTGCTACTCTAATCACTTGAAATATCGACTCACGAAGGCACAATATCTCAAGTGGTTAGAGCAGTGGTGTACTGAGCTGAATATTATGGGTCATAATGGTCAATTATGACTACTCAACATATATGGATTAAAAAATAAAATTAGTGTTTATGGCAGTTCTAATTTATTGATTGTTTTATTAATTTGGGTTTACTCACTGGTTAAGGCAGGGACATTTTCAAACAAATTGCGTATCACATGCAGTTGCACAATAATTTGCCAATGAATGGCAGTGTTTGATGCATTGCACAAATGATTGACTAGTTTCAAAAATGTTTGAAATCTTTTGTACAGTTTGCGTCGTGTAGGTACATGTTGCGCATTATTTTCCATTATTGGCTGGTATTCTTGATGGAATCTCCTAATTGTGTGTCTATATATGTGGTGGATATATATATATGTGGAAATACCATTTACCAAAGTTCTACGCAAGTATTAGATTCCATCCTCAAATAATTTTTGTAATCAAAGGGGGATAACTGTTGTTCTTGAATTAGGCTAAGGGTCGCCCTTTTCTTTTGCCATTCTATTATCCAAATTCTGAAGTTTTCTTTTTCATTTTCTTGTAAGATTGACATTATCTAATCATAATAATTGATGCAATAGCTCTTGGGGATATGGTGGTCATACAATTCCCAATTTACAAATAAAGTTTCAACAAAAATTTAATGAAATATAGGGGTGATGCAATGCAACATTGCGTGTCACTTTGTTGAGCATTTGACAATGTAAGGGCACCTTCAGATATTTACGATTACGATATGTAGATACATAAGGTTAGTATCTGTGATCTAGTAGCAATACATCGAGACGCAAACTCGCAACTAACAACTCCACCAGTTCGGGAAAATCTAAAATCTGTTTAAAACACCAACTTAAAGTCAAGTATTTTAGGTTGGTTAACGTGTTTTAAAAAGTTTTTTACATTTTGGGTACAATTTCTGGAGCGATCGGTATCTGAGACCTTGTAGCAATAGTCGAATACATTATTACTTCAACTCGTAACTACCACTTCCCCAGATAGGTGAACATCTAAAAACTGGTGAAAACATATACTTTTTCGAACTTTTTACGTATTTTACTTATTTCTTGACTTTTATATAGTTTTTGAACGTTTTTGCAACACATAATTATTTTATAAATTATACCTTTTATCTAAGATCTTAGTAGAGATGAAAGAGTTAGTGATATGAGTGGGATTTCAAGTCTCTAACCACTTGAGCTTTCGTGACTTCGCGAGTCAATAGCTCAGTGGTTAGGTAGCGGCGTATTGAGCCGAAAGTCACAATAGCTCAAGTGGTTCGAGCAGTGGTGTATTGAGATGAATGTTATGGGTCATAATGGTCAATTATGACTGCTAAACATATATGGATTAAAAAATAAAATTAGTGTTTATGGCAGTTCTAATTTATTGATTGATTTATTAATACTGTGTTTACTCACCGACTAAGGCAGGGCCATCCCAATTTTCAGAACTGACCATCACAATCTGGCCCTCCATCGATGTGTTAAAAACATTATTAAATAGAAATTGGTGTGCTAGAATGGCACAGAAGCACAAATGTATCAAGAACTCAGTTGTCAGATAACCCTTGGAGAATATAAATAGGCAAAGAGTGAATATTCCCACTCGACTAACAGTAGGCCATCTGAGGTTGACAGACAGATACTTTATTTCATATGTAAGGCATAACAATTTAGAAATCACAAAGTACAGAGTAAAATTTAGAATTAATGGAAGATAAACAGGGTCCTAATTTTCAGATTGACCTTACAATCCAGTCCCTAGATTCTCAAAATGCGATAAAGATGATTAAATTGAAATAGAGCATCGATTAGCTGGGGAAGGGGCCCTCGGATGATCTGAATGGGTGAAGAGGTCTCGTACTCACGTTTATAAGAATAGGTCAAACAGGGTTGACTAATTCTCTGCTATGTCCGGCATGAAAAGTTTACCCCAGGTCTTCCCTTCCCCAATTTTACTATAGCTTATCTTTTAACTAGTTGGATTAAAAAAAAAATTCTCGGTTCTCTTGAGGGAATGTAAGGAGGATTCCTGGCATGGAAAAACTAATGAAGATGACACTTTGCCTTTTATTTAATCAAACTTTCCATAGGAATAAATGAAAAGAAATGATTACAGACTGTTGGTTTATAAACACAGTAGATATATTGAAGATGTTTGATACATGTTGAAAAAGGTGGGACAGAATTTATTACATGATAGATTATTATAATGTAGAAAATATTTACTGTTATTTCAATGATTATTAACAAAAACAATTATAATTGGAGTTTAAACTGACTTTTGCATCTACAACAAAAGAATTTGACAATATAAAGTCAAAGTTTTTTTATTTCATTTTGAAATAAGTTCTTTTTATAATAATAACATGTACTATATAGTATGATTTGTAGCCTTTGCTATTGTATCAATGCTGTTAAAAATGGTCATTGTATTGGTTGACCAAAAGTTCATTTCTGCTGAAAGTTCAAACAAAACATACATAAGATTTTTTAAAATTATTTATATGGAGATTCTATTTAGTATTAGTACAAGAAATCATATTCCACCCGTTTTGTATGTATAATTATTATTTAATACAATTTTTTTGTAATCTGATTGCCAGTGTAAATTATTATTCAGAAATCGTGAGATGCGGTCTGGTGTGATGTAGGTTTCAGAAAAACATTTTCTTTATCGTTTTGATCTTTATTGAGATCATCTTCAGGGCCTGGGATTTACAATGAAGATGATGTCAATAAAGATCGAAACGTTGGCACGATAAAGAAAATGTTTTTCTGAAACCTACCGACCGCATCTCACGATTTCTGTATAATTATCGATTAACGGTCACTAATCACCACACACAGTGTAAATTATATTTTATTCATTTCTTGTGTTTTTCTTTTCTAGGTGGTGTTGTGTTGTTTTTGTATCTTTTTCCTACATTTTCACAAAGTGTGTTAAGTTGTTTCGCGAGTGTTGAACGGTGTGTAGTTAGCTGGTTCATTGTAGCTGTTTTAAGGAAAGGATTGTTGCCTTCAAAGGGTAAATTTCATTTATATAACAACTGTTTATGTAAGTTGTCTACTATTCTCTCATTTAACCTTAATTTTTTTCTTTTTCTAGGAGGGATTTACAAAGGGTAAATCAACTCTCTCTGCTGGCAGTCAGGTTAGTGAGCATGTTAGAATTAATATTTTATTATTGCCCCAGCAGCCAATATAATCCTCTCGGTTTAATACTATATGTACTATCTGCAAATTTTAATACAAGCAGTGTTTCAAAAGTAAAACCTATTACGGCACCTGCTTAGAAGGGTTAGAACTGACAAAAGTTCGGGTTTTCCCAACTAGATATTTTCAGATTGACACCTCTCTCTGTCGAAATTTGTAGGTCACTTTAGGTCACTGTTACAATTAATACAATTTTTTGTATGATCTCGTAAATAAGTTTTGTGTGTAAATTACATTTAATTTATTGTATGCTTTATACATTTCAGTTTTGTTTTTTCAAGGGTGTTGATCCATTTTTACATCATTGTTTTACATTTTCACAAAGTGCTATTTAAACAGTGCGTTAAGTTGTTTCGCGAGTGTTGAACAGTGTGTAGTTAGCTGGTTCATTGCAGCTGTTTTAAGGAAAGGATTGTTGCCTTCAAAGGGTAAATTTCATTTATATAACATCTATTTATGTAAGTTGTCTACTATTCTCTCATTTAATCTTAATTTTTCTTTTTCCAGGAGGGATTTACAAATGGTAAATCAACTCTCTCTGCTGGCAGTCAGGTTAGTGAGCATGTTAGAATTAATATTTTATCATTGCCCCAGCAGCCAATATAATCATCTTGGTTGAATGAATGAATTTTAATGGAATCGGTGTTTTCCAAAAATAAAACATTGCCTGCCTTACTTATTTCAGAAATAACTTAGAATGGTTAGAAGTTATAAAAATAGTTTTCCCAATTAGTAAAGTTTTCATTATTATTATTATTATTTTAATGAACTTTAATTGATACAAACATTAAATTTAGAAAAAATATTATACAAAAAAGGTCAGTTTTGTGCTAAAAAAAGTGGGGAAAAATCCAAGAATACTGTGTACATCGATTCGCATAACTTCATCTAAATGCCTAATCACAATAGTAATAACAATAATATATTCTCCATGGCGAAAATAGTGTGTCCACTTTTGCCAATTGAGGAGGCCCCATAGCCCCCTCAACTCTGCCTGAGTGGCACACCTGTATGTGGAGACAGTGTGGTTCCTCAGCCTCCCGTTGTTCCGCGTGTGTTGAACAGTGTGTAGTTAGTTGGTTTATCGTAGCTGTTTTAATGCAAGGATTGTTGCCTTCAGAAGGTAAGTTTTTTTTAATATAACATCTACTTTTAAAATCTGCCTTGTCTCTAATCTCTGATTTTAACTTTTTTTATTTTTCCCAGGAGGGACTTGTGTAATTGTATGTAAGTGTAATTCAACTCTTTCTATTGGCATTCAGGTTGGTAAGCATGTTAGTATCAATCCCCTAACTCTTGCTTATAAACTACACAATTCAGTTCTTATAATTTAAATAAACATACCAACTTAGTTCTCTAACAATTTCTATCCCTACTTATAAACTAAATAAATTCACCAATTTAGTTCTTTAACAAATTTGCATTTCTATTTATAATTTACACAACCTAATTCTTGGATAATTTCTATCCCTACTAATCTATCCCTATCCTAAGTTGGCTTATTCCTTGAGGAACGTATTATTCAAAATTCGCTGCAGCCTCAAAATCGCCCTGACTGTTCTCCAATTCTCCCACCAGCTGACTGACAAATCTGTACTTACAGAACCAAAGCACTAGCATATTTCTTGGTTACTGTATTCCTCTAACTTCCACGGCCGCACCAGTTCTCTTCTTTGCCTTGGTCCCAGCGGACTCTGCGCTGACTACCACAGCTGCACCAGCTCTCTTTACTGACTCTCTTCTGACTCCTGGCCAACTCCTATGGATTCTCTTCTTCTCTTGGCTGTGTCTTGGCCAACTCCTATGGACTTGGATGTCAGCCTTTCTCCTGGCTGACTCCTACTGTTCAGCTCTACAATAACTGCTTCTCTCACCCGTCAAGCATAGGAAACATTGTTATAATTCCTTGTGACCCGATTTGCACGTTTTTCTTCCCCACTTTGTTCTGCTTTTCCATGGGCTCCAGCATTAGCCAACGCTAGGTGTTGAGCAATAAGGCCACTTGTCCAACAACAGTAAATATTTCCGTGGCGATCGCCTGGGAATGACCCATATTTCTGAATCATAAACACTAAGGTGTTATTATTATTAACAGTATGCCTAATAGGTGCACAGAGGTTTTAGCTAACAGGACATTATGCAGGGTATTAATTGTGTAAAAAAATTATTTTGTCAATTGAACAAAATTATGAAATTAAAACCTTTTATTTTGATATTTTTCAAAATCACTTAATTAAATTTTCCTTCTGTGAAAAATATAATTACTTTCTAATAAATTTTAATGCAATTTGTAATAAAAATAAAATAAAAATGCTAGAAGAGTAAATACTACAAAATTGGCAATATCCCCATTCATCTTTGAGCAGGTAAATCCATACGGTTGTGGAGGTAAATAATTGAAGTAAAAACCAAAAAATTTGAATTTTGGCGGTATTGTCTTCATTGCCGATTTTGGAACCAATTGTAAGTCAGAGAATACCGGGGAGGTTATAGTTCTGGTGTATTTTCTCCTTCCCTAGGCTAGAATGAGTACTTTGCAAAGGGTGACCGTGAGTATTTTGATTATATACGTTGCTTACTTATTTAAAAAAAAACAAACTAATATGTTATTATTGGTAATTCAATGGTAGTGGTGTTGATAATAGATTTTATTTAATAGTTCTGATCAGTAGTTAGGATCTTGAGCCTGACATCCATCAGATCTGAGGGCACTTGACCTGTTGTTATATAAATGCAGTCAATTTAAGTATGTTTTCATTATTTTAATAAGGAAATTGTCTGATAGAGTCTAGTTAAAAATTCTATCGGTCTATATAATTCAATGGTAGTGTGGTACTGTGGCGTTGATAATGGCTTGTAAGCGTAGTACAGTCCTGAATTAACCAGATCTTGAGCCTGATTTAAATTGGATCTATACATTATATAGTAATCGACCATGTCGTGGAGTAGGAAATAGCATTCCCTGGTCAGGCTATGTAAAATATCTGGGCTTAACAATGGATAGCAGCTCGACGTTCACCAGTCATGTGGCAGATAGAATAGATTGTGGAAAAACTGTTATCAGGCTGCTGTTTCCTTTACTCCTTGAGTTCTTTTAACAAAAAGTTCCTCTACAGCAGCATTGTTAAGCCCAAGCTTCAGTATTCATGCCCTACTTGGAACATCACTTGCTGGACAAACCTCAACATACAAGTGATCCAAAATAAGTTTTTGAGGTTTGTCACCTCCCTGCCCAAGATGGACAAGTACTTCCATAAGATGACCAAAATGAAGACCATTGCCATGGAGGTGAAGTCAAGAACATTACGTTTCTTCAGCAGATCTGCTGCCAGCGGGAATGCCCTATGCAGAGAAATAGAAGCCTATGACCTTAATAAGCGCTGGAAGCACCAGTGTGTAAAGAACATTCTGCTTTGAGACTGAGCTGTGATTTTTATGACATTTGTGATACTCCATTAAGTGCTGTGATATCCCTATAATTTCTGGTCCGTAAATGTTCATAATCTTTTATTTATTATATATTAACTTACTTAGGCCCTCAAAATCTATTTTGTGAATTCTCCTGGCTAAATTAGTGAATCTTTTAAAACTTTTCCCCACTTCTCAAAAACTTCACTTAACCTCAATTTAAACAAAATAAAGACTTTCTAGTTGTAGTTAAAGTGGCAAGTGGCTCTGCTGCCACTGTCACTCATATTTATAATTATATACTAACTGTAATGTATTGTTTAATAAAAATAAATTTAATTTGAATCTAATCTGTTTATTTTAGCAATGGAATGCATTTACGAGGGTCTGGCATCTGTTCGATGCTAAATGGCAAAATCCTTTCGACTCGGCAAAAATAATAACAAAGTATCTTAAAGGGACTTACAAGCCATTTTACCATCCTCTCAGTAAGTGGTTTTAATTCTAATTAATAGATTTATATTAATTTCTGATGGTTTACAGATCGATGCGGCGACATGGTCGTCGTGATTAACAGTAAGGATGTGGCTTTGCCGGGCGATGAGTGGCGTAAGCGAGTCTACTTCCACCACACTGGCTATCCAGGTGGTGCGACATGGACTCTGGCTTGGGAGCTTCACGAAAAAGACCCGACGATGGTGATATACAAGGCGGTGTACAGGAGTATGAAGGGAAACCTCCAGCGTCGTTACACGATGAAACAACTGCTCATATACCCAGATGACAAAGTCCCCGAGGACATCATGGGGAACATAACCAACCAGATACGAGGCCTGCGGCCTGTACCAAAGACACTGCCCTCGTATGGTGAAAGCGCTAAAGACTTCCCGCGTATCTGGACACCACCTAAGGACTACATGCCCAAATAATGTACAAATTTAGTTACCCTCTTGTAAATATAGCATTTCTACTTATGTTTCAAAATATGACGATAAAAAAAGCTTTTATTTTTGTCAGTTAAAATTGAAAATACAAATGTGGGCCGACTGACTGTAGTCAGAACGTTTCCACAGCTGCAAAGGGCAGATATGATTACTCAATACTGTAATAACATATTTTCTGACCAAACTTTGTACAATTTCACTCATTTTTTAGTAAAATATCTTGATTTGATGGATAATCATGATCAATAGATTCAAGTGATACGCTTCAGTTCTACCATGGAGCTTATCAGACACTACATAATAACATAGTTTCTACCTTTAATTTGTACACTCTTACCCTATTTTTAGTTTTAAATCATGAAAAGATTATTAGATCATGTTTTGTTATCGAATATAGAAGATGAATGGTTCATAGCGGATTAGTGAATCGTTCTTCGACAAGATTCGAACAGAAAGTAGCATAGCTATAGATTTTTTATTTTAACATTTGATCATGATTTTATGACATTCATGGACAAGATTATCACGGATGCTATATATCAAATCATGAATTGAATGTAGACAATCATGATTTTTTTTATTTTTTATTTTTTTATCGTGATTGCTACCAATTATGCACAAGATTGCTTGGATGTTTATATATATTTTTTTTAATGTTCGATCACCAATCATGCGCAAGATTATCATGGATGTTGTATATCAAATCGTGGATTGAATGTAGACAATCATGAAATTTTTGTTTGTTTGATTGTGATGGCCACCAATTATGCACAAGATTGCTTGGATGTTATACATCAAATCACATTATCACATGTGGACAATCATGGCCGTTAGATATTTTTTGGGTAACATTTGATGGCAATCATGCACTAGATTTTTCAGTTATACAAAAAATCACAGGCATGGATAAGTGGCAAGTAAGAACTCTACGACAAATCAGAGATTGAATGTGGACAATCATGGATATTAGATTTTTTATTTTAACATTTGGTCATGATTTTGTCCACATGATAGTTGATGTTATTCAATAAATCATGGACGATAGCTAATTGGATGCTTGTAACCTACTTTCCTGATTTGAAGCCTACTATGTACAAAATGATAAGGTGATTGTAACTATCCCCTTTTATTTCTTTTGCTTGGAAATAATTTTAAAAAAATAATAATAAATTGAATGGTCTTTACATAATTTTTTTACATAGAATATGAACCTGAAGTCAAAATTTTTTTCAATGTTTCAATTTTGAATATGGAATTAAATTATATAACTTTTTTTGAAGATTTACTTCAGACACACTTTTCTTGTAGAGTTTGTCATTTAAGGTTTTAAAAAAAGTTCAAATTTTGTTTATCTCAATTGTCATTCATTTTCCTCCTAGTAACTTTAAGTTACTTGAAGTAATTGAATTAGTAATTAACTTAGTTACTTGGAGGTAAATGAATAACAATTTAGATAAATAAAATTTAAAATTTTTTCAAACATTAATAACTCTTAAACGTCAAACTACACAAGAAAAGTGCCCAAAATAAAATCTTCTAAACTGTCTTGTAGAATTTAACTCCCTATTCAAAATGATACCTTCCCATTTGGAAAAAAGGTGCTTAACCCTCAGGACATACTATACATGGAAAAAAATTTAACTTCAGATTCAGATTCTACATAAAAAATTATGTAAAGACCAGTCCATCCATTAAATTATTTCAAAACAAAAGAAATAAAAGGGGATAGTTTATAGATAATTACCTGGTATATTTTTTCTAATGTTTGAGCATGATTTGTCACAAATCATGTACAAGATTATCATGGATACCATATGTAAAATCACATTGTCAAATGTGGACAATCATGGATATTAGACAAAAAAAAAAAATTGGATAACATTTGATCAAGGTTTGATAGCAATCATGGATTAGTGGAAAGTAACCATCCCTAACCATTATTTACTTTAGACATTAACTTTTTCAACTTGTATTTATTTTAAATGATACATTTTTTTCTTCTTTATAATAAAAAAAGCAAATAAAGAAATTGATAATTAAGTATAGACTATTTAGCAGGGACGAGGAATGATGGGATGTCCTTTCCAGCTACGACCTCTCTCTGTATACCGTCCTTGGTGATTACGCCCATACGGATGACACCACCTGAAGAACCATCACGTCTTATTGCAAGTGCGATGGCTGAAAATTAAAAATAAATAAATTAGTATTTAAGATATTCAGTTTGTTGTAAGTGTTGAACCTTGTTTAATGAACGCTTTGCATTCTTTGGAGTTCATGCCTTCCCTGTAGTTGGCGTCAGTAAAACCGTATATGTAAGTACTGCCCGAGCCACCCATAGCGTACTTCTGTTCAACGCACATACCTCCCAATGGGACCATGTACACCTGTCCACCTTTCACCCTGTCCCACCCAGCGACGATGATCCCGGCGGTGAGCTTGTTGCGGTAGTTGTAGCACAATTCACGGAAAAGAGCGGCTGCTGTCGATACGAGCGGCTCTTCTCCTGTCTCCGACTTGTAGAAAGCAAGATGGTAGCTCACTATATCAGCGACGGCCTGCGTATCGGCTGCAGCCCCTGAACGGCAGCAGTAGATATAATCGGTCACCTTCGTAAGCTTATCAGATACACGGTTTGCAACATATGAGCTTCCGACGCTCGTCCTGGAATCCGCTCCGATCACAACACCATCGCTGAACGTGCATGCCATAATCGTAGTCTAAATATCAAATCATAATTGTAAGAAACAACAAAATCCATCTCAACTTTCATGATCTTATTATTACTTATTACATACCCCGGTCATGACTGGTTCTTCCACCGCAGCAGGAGCACCGAAACGATCATGGTAGTTCATTACTTTAGCCATGATTTATTTTTTTCCCCTATTAAATACGATCTAGCTTAAGGCTGTGACTTGCGTCTATACGAATTGTACGCGGATAACCAAGCAGAAGGTTCTACGTGTAACAATCGATTCTCACTATTCCACTATTCATCATGATTAACTTCCACGCCTCTTCATAGATAATTTTTGCGCATGATCATGATTTAAAAAATCCGCCAACTAGAAATAAGGTAAAAACTAATAAAAAAAACAATAAAGGTTTTTAAATATATATAAAATTTAGCGAATTGTCGACCCGTCGTTTCAAATTTCGAACTTACAAAGATCCCGATGATCTTTTACTCATGATTTTTATAGAATCAAGATTGAACTGATTTAGAAAATGAACAAATTTGTGTTCAATACGAAATAAATTTAAAAAATCAATTCAATTTTACTTGTAAAAGTTGTAAAGAGCTATTATGTTCGAATCTTCTCTATGAACGATTCACGGATCAGCTAAAAACCGCTCTTTTTTTCTATGATCGATAACAAAACATGATCTAATAACCTTCTTTTCATGCTTCTCCATCAAATCATGATTTCAAACTTAAAAATAGAGTGAGATTGTACAAATTATGGTTTGATAATATGTTATTACGTGGTGTTTGATGACTTCTGTTCTGAGCGAGGAGCTTTGAACGAGTGACTTGAAACTTTCATAGATTTTTAATGATCTAATGGTCTTCTTTACATGATTATCCATCAAATCATGATTTTAAAATTAAAATAGGGTGAGATTGTACAAATTATAGTTAGACAATATGTTATTATCAGGAGGTTGATGAATGAGCTGTTTTCTGAACTAGCCAAACGAATCGCTTGACGTTTCATGAATATTTAATGATCCAATGATCCACTTTCCATGATTGTCTATCAAATCATGATTTTAAACTTAAACATAGAGTGAGATTGTACAAATTATGGTTAGAAAATATGTTATTATGCGGAGTTTGATGAGCTCCTTTTTGAGCGTGAAGCTTTGAACGAGTCAGTTGAAACTTTTAAGCATTTTTAATGATCTAATGTTCTTCTTTCCATGATTGTTCATGAAATTATGATTTTAAACTTAAAAGTTGGATGAGATTGTACAAATTTTGGTTAGAAAATATGTTATTATGCGGAGTTTGATGAGCTTCTTTTGGGGGTGAAGCTTTGAACGAGTCAGTTGAAACTTTCAAGCATTTTTAATGATCTAATGTTCTTCTTTCAATGATTATCCATCAAATCATGATTGTAAACAATTGTGCAAATTATGTTTAGAAAGTATGTTATTATGTGAAGTTTAATGAGCTTATTTTTGAACGAGTCACTGGGCTTTAATGAATATTTAATGATCCAATGATTTTCTTTCCAAGATTGTGGAGTTTAATGCGCTTCTATTAAAACGAGGAGCTTTGAACGAGTCAGTTGAAGCTTTCGTGGATCTTTAATGACCCTCTTTCCATGATTACCAATCAAATCATGGTTTTAAAGTAAAAATAGAGTGAACTTGTGCAATGTAGGTTATACAAAAATGATCCAATGATCTAATCATGATCGACGTAACCTCATTGCCACCGAATCATAAGTTAATAAGTACAAAAGCTTAGGCGCAGTTGGGCGAAAGTGGACTATAAAAACGGCCAATTTTTCCCCATTGGGTCAGATTCTCCAATGAAGGATTATCAAGTATTTAATGTGATTTAAGGGTTAGGGAAAATTAGAAAGAAAAATTTGTGAGCTGCCCACCTTAAGGGGTGCGATGCCAGATGAGAGGGTATGGTGTTAGTCGCTCTGAATATTTAAAAGGGTATGCGGATTTCCGGTGTTTTCCCACCCCTTTTCCCACCCCGGCAGTCCAACGCGCTTTTTCCACCCTGGCCGCGGACGACTGCAAACACCTAGGGAAAAATTTATGCCCGATCGGTTGGGAAAATTCGTCCGTGTCTTATGCTGTCAGGTGGACACGGTCTGAATACGGCGAACAGGCTTGTTTCAATAGCGCGTCCGCTAAAGCCGGCTGAAATTTTCATGTAGGATTTTTTTATTTATTTTTTTTCCGAGGAAAGTAGAAGGTCCGCGGTGATCCTCTGCTTCATAACTGGACTTAACGACTCGAAAGTTTGAAGGACCAAGAAGGAATCGTGAATTTTTTTCAACTGTCTGAGAAATATGGAGGGAAATAAAACTTATTTAACCTCAGGAAGCAACCACTAGCAAAACACAATTGGGATGGGTTTAGTACGATGGATGTGTGAGGTAATTCAGGTTATTTTATCTAAGGAAGGTCGGATAGAGTTGAGGCCAACTATACGTCCAAGGTTATCCACCAATAAACCTAGGAAAAATTAAAAAATCCTGATTATTTATTATTTCAGAAACGTTATAATAGACTTTACATTTCATGAGATAAGAGGGTATTTAACCTTAATTGGAACGGCCTAGGTACATAGGTAACCACTGTACTTCTGTTTAATTAAGGTTAAATGCAGCGGTTAAGAAAGTGTGCGGTTATCAGGATATTTATATCATCGGAAGGTCCAATGATTTTGAGGTTAGGTTATCGATGCCTCCAAGGTGATCCTGTAGAAACCTAGGAAAACCAAAGAAAACGTACTTCATTATAGGTTATCTGAAAACCTTTAAAAACTGACCTTTTCAAGAAATGTAAGCTATCTTAATAGTACGAGGGAAGTAAGTGACTGCAGTACAGCTCGATTGGGGTTGGTTTGTTACGGAGGTTGAGAAAATGATGTGAAGTTATACATGTTATTTTACCGTAGGAACGTCGGATGATGTTGGGGTTATTGAAATGTCCAAATTGATCCTCCATAAAACACCAGAAAAATCCAAACATCCAGTTTTACTATTGAGTGTTTGTGAAACTTAAGTGACTGGACATTTCGTGAGATGTAAGGCTATTTAAGCTTAGTAGGTGTGAAAGATGTAAATGACTATACAGCTATTCCATCATCGGAAGGTTATTTTGTTATTGGAAGGTTCATGTTGAAATTATTGACCTCGGTCGTATCGATAACTTCAACATCAATTAACCTTTCTACGATAAAAATAACGTGAATAACATCACAATTTTACTCAACCACCGCATTAAACCAATCCCAATTGTGCTTTTCTACGGTAGTTATTTACTTCCCTCATAGCTATGAGGTTAAATAACCTTATATCTAATGAAATGGCTAATTTCTAATGATTCTTACATAGTCAATAAATAAATCAGGTTTTCTTGAATTTTGCTAGATTTCTAGAGGATCACCTTGGTCGAGTCGATATCCTCGACACCAAACAACCTTCCAACGATAAAAATCCTATATAACCTCACATATTTACTCAACCATAGTTCTAAACCTTAATTGAGCATTACTCCAGTGGTTACCAGTGTGCAAACGTCATACCTATTAAGGTTGAATAACCTCCGCATATCTCACGTGTCCAGTCTGTTACGTTTCTCAAATACTCAAATTAGGGATTACTACTTTTTTTTAGGTTTATCAGGTTGCTTTTTAGGTGTATCACCTTGGTCGTGTAGATGACCTAAACTCTATCCGATTTTTCCTAGATAAAAATAACCTGAATAATCTCACAGTTTTATTCAACAACTGCACTAATGAATCCCAATTATGCTTTGTTACGGTAGTTACTTCCCTCATAGTTATTAAAGTGAAATAATCTCATATCTCACGAAATTTAAGATCTTCTCAAATACTCAATAAAAAATCAGGATTTCTTAATTATGCCTAGGTATTTTATGGATAAATTATCTATATAACCTCACATTTTTACTCACCCACACTACTAAACGTAATTGAGCATTCCTACAGCGGTTAGCTAAGTAACAATATAATACCTATTAGTTTGCGATGTGGTTTCAGGTCAGTTCTGGTTTGACCTTGGTCGCGTAGATGACCTCAACTGTAACCGACATTCCTGCAATAAATGTCACCATGTTTACTCATCCATCGTACTAAACCAACTGAAACTGAGCAGTACAACAGTGGTTACATACTTAGGTACTAAATAAACTTCCTTCTTCGCGAAATGGCCAATCACTAAGGTGTCATAAATACTCGTGGTTTCTGGAGGATTACCTTGGTGTCAATAACCTGAACATCATACAAACAAACCTCCTACGATAAAATAATCTCACAATGTTTACTCATCCATCTTAATAAACCAACCCATATTAAGCTATACAGTGGCACATACACCTTTCTCAACTGCTAAGGTGAATTAACCTTATTCCTCAAGATTATTTGGCCACTCTTGATAGTGATAATGAGTTGTACCACAGCCGTTACCTACATCATACCTTTTAAGGTTAAATAACCTTTCTTTTTACGAAATGGTCACTAAAGTTTCTTAAATACTCAATAGTAAAACAGGACTTATGGATTTTTCGTCTGTGATTTCTGAATGATCACTTCGGACGCATCAATAACCTCAGGGTCATCTGACTTTCCTAAGGATAAATAACCTGAATAACCATATTTATCTGTGTTACAGTTATTTACCCCTCTCATAGCAGCAGAAGGTTTATTAACCTTATATATCATAACAATTTAGGACAGACAAAAGAGGTCTATCCTCAAGTAACTTTTCCCATAGATTTTTCTAGCATAGAGGCCGAATAATATTGTGGAAACGAATTGAGGACAATTTAGGTTAGTTCTGAAATGGTAATTTATCTCATTTTCTCTTTAGATTTTTCGGCTGTACGACAGCTAAAATAGAGGACAAGACAAATGAGCCTTTTTTTTAATTGGTAGTGTTAATTGGGGTGTAGTCTCGTCGTATTGGGGGCGTTGACGGAATAGAACCGAAAATTTTGAAAGTTCGTCCTTTCAAATTTGATTTTTTTTTTAAAGATGCGATTTTTAAGCCGGCGAAGCCCCTCTAACGCACATACGCACACGCACGCAAGTTTACAAGGTTCAGTAGAAAAGGGGGGCGGGAGTATGTTTCAGGATCCCCACCCCGTACGGACGGGCAACGGGGGGTCCGTCGTGCCATGCCGGCCCGTCTTCAGTCTTCAGTCGGTTTCGTGTCATCGGAGGGTCAATTTGTGCTTAGAGGTGAGTACAAAGTAACCCGGGGTGAACCGGAGGGTCTCAACACCCTCGGTGACTGTCCCAAGACCGGCCTTTTATCCTCAAAGAACCTTCTTTTTCAATTTTTATTGTAAAAATTTATGAAATTTAATTTTTTTAGTCGATTCAAATATTTGGATTTTTCGGAGTCAATATTAAACAAACAAAAAAAAATTATTTTCTGTGGATCTTTTCGGTTCGAGTGTGATTTTTGGTCAAGGTTTTGTCAAGTAAAACTAACTAACTAGATGTTTAAAAAATATATTCTTAATATTTTATTTAGAGTATTTTTGACAATTTTTGGCCGGAAATTTTCCGGTTTTGCGAGCCGTTTTGTAAAGGGGTACGTGCTTCTGGCGCCAACTACCCCCAAAAGCCTCTCAGCAGATTCGCCCATTTTCAACACCCTAGAGGTTTTTCTTCTGATTTTTTTCCAGCCGGATTTATCTTTTTTCTTCTTCTCGAAAGGAAAACGCGAAAAAAAACTAAAACTTTTTCGGGTTTTGGACGTTTTTTCCATGCCCGAAGAGAATTTTCCCGGGAAAATTTTCTCTTTTTTAATTATAAATTTAAAAATTTTAATTTCCCTTCTGTTCTTTTCTTCCTATTTCAAATACCGACCTCAGCAGTACACGGGGGAAACGCTGACCCTATGGGAATTTATCCTAGACCCGATGAGCTTGCAATATACAGGGTGTTGCCGGTACGACAAGCCGACTTTGGTAGGAGTTGATTTCATTTTGTATATTTCCTCTCTCCTTCTCGGAAACGAACAAAAGGATGATCCTTAATTTATATTTAACAAAAAAAAATATAAGAGCAAATTATAAATTTTGTGATTTAACATGGGGTGAGACGGTTTAAAAGACGGCCTGTGCAATTTTTCCGACAGATCCGATAAAGATCCTTTTTTTTATTATCTCGATCTGTTTTTTATTTATTTTAATTTAAGAGTGTTTTCTGAAATTTTGATGGAAGGTAAAACGGCCGAGAAAATAGACCGGCTTCGAACCTGTTTAGATGCCTGTCAGTCAATTCTTTCTTTACCAACAACCAAAATCACACTAAAACGTTCAGAAAGAGCTTAAAATAGAGGAGTATACATAAACTTTCTCTTGGACAAAATTCGGGCGAAGTTATTTAAGTTAGAAGCCAGGTATTTTAAGTTTTACCTCTACGATACTACGATAAATAATATTTCCTTGGGGAAATGACCCTGCAAAAATTAACTATGTGGCAATGGACGGCACGCTGCGGACCCACAATGCAGAAAAGTGGAAACCAGTCTTTTCTAATTGTTTTGATCTTTTTTTAAATTATTTTTTCCCAGATCAGATTCTGAGAGACTTTTGGTGGTCTTGGGTGGTTTTCGTAATTTTCCCCGTCCCTAGGATTTTTTTTGTTTCATAATTTTTTCCAAAATTCATATGGTAGGATTTTCCCCCGAAATTTTTTCGATTTTTACCCACCCTCACATTTGACAATTCCTCCTCGAAAAGGCATTAGAGTAATGAGCGTCCCATTTTTACGCCTCCCCCCCCCGCCAATCCGAGGAACCACGGCTTTTCCAGAGAGTCCACCCCGCCTCGCCCCCAGACAGGAGTCTGGAAAAGTCAAAAGTGCGGATTTTCAACCCCCTTTTCACCACCCTGTCTGGAAATCCGTCGAAGTTTCTAAAGAAAAAGGGCCCATTAGTTTGATTTGTTTTTCATCTCCCCCCCCCCGCAAACCGTTAAAACACAATCCCCGAGGGGGTGTTATTCCGTTTAGAAATTCCACCCCAAAAAATAAATTTGGCATTATTTAAATAGTATTTTGTTTTTTCAGCAATGAGGAAACCCTTACTGCTCTCATGGGCGTTCTGCCTGCTCATCGCAGCCCGCGTGGACACCGGACGCGCTTTTAACGTGAGTACTAAAATTTTCACAGATTTTTCGTTTAATCTTATCTTTAATACGATAGAGTGTGGTAAATCATAAGGTCCATGGTAGAAAGTACCCGGTTGATAACTGGTCACATGGTGCATATGACACGAGTGGGACGTGTTTTTGGTTTCGAAGGGCTTTTCTTACACCGAAGACAGGCTTTTCACGTTCCAAGGGCATGAGTGTTCCGTCTTGAGATGAAACGGGTCAATTAACCCTGTTATGAAGTTTATGAGGGGGCGCCCAGGCGTGCTGAGCATGTTTGCCTTCTGCGTTAAGGCCCCGCTCGTTATTAGTCCTGATAAAAAGACCGGCCGTTGTTAAACAGAAATGAATTAAGCAAATATGACTCTTTTTTTATTCTTACACACAAAAACGAAAAAAAACGCGAAACCAAGTCGCGACAAATTAACCGTTGTCATCACAAGGATTAACATGTCGTCTTTATCTTCAACATTGTCTCCATTTTTTCTCTCATTTTATTGCACAAAACTCTTCTCTTTTTTTGTATTTTTTTTTTAAATTTTAAATTACACTACACATATCTCATTATCAACATTGTCAATTAAGTACACTTCAACAATCGTCAAGTTGTAATTGCCCGGTTGATAAGCTTGGCGTCCTGGAAAAAAAAACCGCGCAGGCTTGTCTGATGGTCGTATCGCAGCCTAGTACTACACAGCAGTCAGTTTCGTCCTTTGGTCCAACTACAGCCGTCACACTGTAGACATAGTCCAGCTATTGCCACTTGATAGTAGACGATGGTGTCTTACGGCTGTATCGCAGTCCCTATGGTAACTTGTGGTCTCTCTACTGTCACTCCATAGTAGAAAGTATCTTTATGTCGGTGGTAGCAGCCACTACACGGTAGACTGTAGGCTCTTGGGGTCCCATAATGCCACTACACAGGAGACAGTGGCCTCTTGTGGTCCCTCTACTGTCACTGCATAGTATGGAATGTCTTTATGAAGGTAGTATGACTGCCACTGCCGGTAGACAGTAGGCTCTTGTCCCGTAATGCCAATCCACAACAGACAGTGGCCTCCTACTCACTGTCAGTACATAGTAAACAGTGTGATTATTGGTTATTGCCCCATAATGCACAGCAGCAGTCTTCTCGTCCTTCTATAGTCACTGCATAGCAGAGAGTGCCTTTTAATGGCACTACACAGCCGACTCTGATCCGATCCCAACTGACTTGCGTGGTCTTGTCCTCTCAGCGGTCTCGACCTTTTATCCTTTGAGCATCTAACTTGGTTGACAAAGCGAGCACGAGCGGACCTTAAAGTTCGGGCCGGGCGTCTTAGAATAGAAGGACCGCGTCTGACTCACCCAGTTGAAATGTCACTCGGCACGCGCCCGGTCACTATCACAACGAATTCCGAACGACCCAAAATGAAACATCCGCATTTTTCTTCTTTTCCAATTTTTCTTTTTTTTTGATTTTCGAACGGTGGTTGGAGGGGGAGACTTAAACATTTTGGTACAAATTGGGCGTCGGCAGTTTATTACTCACCCGACTCCTCTCTCGTTTACTTTATGTTAATGGGACCAAAGTTGAACGCACTCTGTATCATTTATTCCGATCATCTCTCCCTCAGCTATGGGCGCACGAGTAATTTTAATTTTTAAGCCCCTTTCCCTTTTATCTCTCTCTTTCTCCTAGGTTTTTTTCTATTCCCTTCTCTCAACAATCATATGGGGGACAAAAACGCCCATTACTCAAAAGTCTTTCGCAACCGGATCAATCAATCATATGAGTCACAGTGCAATCTTGATCGTTTACGATTCCGCCCGATGACACGTTTCAATTAAAAGCGAAATTGATATAGGAAAACATTCGGATATGGTTTACAAACCGTCTTAATTAGAAATGTTTTGTTGATCCAAGTTCTTCCAGGTCCGCGGGCTTGTTCGTTTCCGGATCGTTCAGAACCAGATCGTTAAATTTTTGTTCGGACGTTTTCCCCTAGGAAATATTACCTATCGTAATGGTAAAAATTAAAATCCCGGGCTTCGCACTTCAATAACTTCGCCAGAATTTTGTTCAAGATAAAGTTTATGTACGCTTCTCTATTTTAAGCCCTTTCTATATGGTTTAAGCGGATTTTGACCTTCGGTAAAGAAAGAATTGAGAGACTCGCATCTAAACAGGTTCCGAACCGGGCTCTTTTCTAAGCCGTTTTACCCTCCAACAAAGTGGAAAATGTCACAAAACACTCTCAAATTAAAAATATACAAAAAACCAGACGGATTATTTCACGGGCATTTGGGTTTATCATAAATAAAAAGAAACGAGTCTTCTTTAATGATGAACGGGGTCATCGAGATGCCCTATCTCCTGGGTCCTGCCCAGGCCCTAATCGCTAACAGTAAAAGGGACATATGTCTGTCCTTCCTTTATTAATAATAAACGCAGAGATTTTATAAAGATAGTGGGACGATTTTTAAAAAATTACACTCCATTTTACCCCTGAAACAGTGGGAAAATTCTTTAGAATTATTTATATTTGAAAAAAATGGGAAAAGTGATAACAAAAACGGTTTTAAAGTACGTTCATATCCATTAAAAATAGATTCATGATATATACCAAGTACCAACCTACCTTATCTCTCGTCGAGAAGCGAAACGCCACGGACCAATTTGTCAGATGTGTTAAACAAGATTACAGTCTGTTAGAAAAAAAACCGGTAGTAAATGTTCAAGGGTGCGCTCACCGTGTACGATTTGAGGGGATCAAGCACGGGTCGTAAATCTCGTGGGGGGTGGCTCCCCGTGCAACAGGTGGCGGCGTCCGTTCCGGAAACAAAGCCCAAAGCACACAATTGTCACCCCGGTTTAACCCTTTAGACCCTCCACCCACCCCTCCGACCTTTACCCCACCGCGGACTTAATTTAAACGTTCAACCCCCTAGCACTTTTAAAACTTCATTACCTCCCGACACATCGCACGATTTATAATTGGGGGGGGGGGAGTTGGCTTTTATCCTTTTTTGTCACGGGTGGGAAAGGGTGTTCTACACCGTCTCATCAATCCTTAGGAGGTGGACCCCAAAAACGACGAACGGAGTGATGGTTCCATGTTTATGGTACACATAACCTTAAATCAATGTAACCTTCCATTTCATAACCTGGTTTATAACCTTCATATCTGATATTTGAGGTCAATATCTATTTATATGCGTATTATTTTAATTTGATTTTTATACTTTCCGTTTGGTTGGTTTTAAGCCACCCTCCATTCAACTGGAAACTTTTCGTTTTAAAACCCTACGTCTACGGGAGGGGGTCAAAATTTTAATTAACTGATGATTTTAATTGAAATTTCATCCATCAACCCCCTTCAGATTGGGGAAACTTTTTAATGGGACCTTTTTGACCTTGCGTGTTAAAGGACATAGATAGAGTATAATACGCATGAAAAGAACCTTTAGGAAAAATTACATTAAGTTGATTTATATGAAACAGAAATATCCGTTAGTTTGGATGTCTTACGAATGAAGTCGAATGGGCTGAACTCTTCCTCGCGTACAATTACTTGAAAGGATCTGTAGGCGTTTATTTGACTAGCGCCGTGCTTCCAAGAAGATCAGTCCTGACCAGAACACCTCTACACTTTCAAGAAGATCAGGCCTGACCAGAACGCCTCAATACTTCCAAGAAGATCAGGCCTGACCAGAACTCCTCTATACTTCCAAGAAGATTAGACCTTACCTGAACCCTTCTGTAATTTACAAAAAGATCAAACCTGTCGTGAACTTGTCTAACTTACAAGAGAAGGTCAGCTGATCTGAACTCCTCTGCATTTACAAGAAGAGCAGGCCTTACCTCAACCACTCTGTACTTCCAAGAAGATCGGAACTGTCCTGAACCCCTCTGTATTTTCGAGATCAGACTTGACATGAACTCTGCACTTACAAGAAAATTAAACCTGACTAGAATTCCTCTGTATTTACAAGAATGTCAGACCTGATCTGAACTCATATGCACTTACAAGATAAGCGAAACTGACCGGAACTATTCTGTACTTCCAAGATGCTCAGACGTGACCAGCACTTACCATTGAGAATTTCCCAACTTTTTAACATTGTTCTTTCATATCACATATGGGTCTGTCATTGTGCTTTAAGTAAGTCTGTCCACCTTCTTTCTTAAATATGCTAGTTGGTACCGTTTTCTTAGTCTCTATGATTACAACGCAAGGGTGCGTGGTCTTATATGGTACAATGTTTTTAACACTTTCGGTTTTTTTGTCATGAGGATGCTGATACCTTTTATGGGTTTTTAAAGTTGAACGCGTGGGTGTAGATGTGTGTACGTTAGACTTTCACTTCTTTATATGTTGTTTCTCACGACGTGCTTTTAATACAGTCGGAGACGGTTGGGAGTAGTGAAGTCCCCCCGGGACGTAAAGGAACTTTACACAGAATGTAATTTATGATTGATACCTCGAGTTAAATTCTCCACGAGGGGAAAAACTGGCCGGAGGTCCCACCGGGGTCGTAAACGCTTTTCGAAGCCCGAGCGCGGATTTACGCTCGGCAATATCCTTAATGATAAGTTTTCTACCGTCAGTGAGGGGGGGAGAAAAAAGACCCCGGCAAAGGACTTAACGTGGGCTTTAAAATTAACGTGACCTCCGTTGTCTTTTTTCTCCTCCATCTCGCTCGCTCTCCGGCTCTTTCGTCCTCCAACTGGAGATTATTAATTCAGAACTGTTTTCTAAATAATCCACTCGGATTATACATTCATCCGCGAAGATTCCTTACTTCCATAGATTCGGAATTTTTCCAAGTATTTTATCGCGGAACGTTACGGACACCGAAAGCATCCCCCTGACCTCGCCCTAGATCTGGCGTGCGGCTCGCCGCGTCTCGCTTTGTCCCGCCCCCGGCCTTTTTTTAATTCTTCACGGCTCATTGTCGACCGCCCATGGTACAATTACACGGCAACGTCGTCTTAGAACCGGCAACACGTGTCA